GTCCATTTGAATCCCTTCCGATGTTCCCATTGTATCTTTACCAAAGGTATTTCCTTGTTCCGAATAATCTTCTTCTTCCTTTCCAAAATCGCCACAAGCCTTTCCACATAGTTCAGGCGCTCATCGACCTGAATGTCATCCAAGATACCACTGCCTCCTGGTCCATAATGCATTTTCGTAATTATGAAACATGAAATGTGATGTGGATCCGGATAAGCTCCTCCTGAAGCTCTAGCCTATAAGCCACCCTGCCAACCCTGGCGATAATCCTGAATGGACCGATGTAACGGGAACCTAATTTTCCCCTCTTCCTGAAGTGGATCACACCCTTCCAGGGTGAGACCTTTAGAAGAACCATGTTACCCACCTGAAATTCCAGCTTAGATCAGCAACAGTTGGCATAACTTTTCTACCGGCTTTGAGCGGTCTGCAGTCGCTGTCTAATCTGTTGTATCATTTCGGTAGTTTGTAGAACTACCTCTGCCCGACCCATCACTTTGTGCCCAACCTCGCCCCAACAAACTGGGGTCCTACACTTCCACCCATACAACAGCTCGAAAGGCGGGGCGCCAATATTGGAATGATAGTTGTTGTTGTAGGCGAACTCTGCAAGCGATAGGTGGGAATCCCAACTTCCACCGAAATCAATAATGCACGCCCTCAATATATCCTCAAGGGTCTGAATGGTCCACTCACTTTGCCCATCAGTCTGCGGATGGAACGTTGTACTAAAATGTAGTCGTGTTCCCAGTTCCTCATGGAACTTCTGCCAAAAAACGGGAAGTAAACCTGACATCTCGATCGGAAACGATAGAAACTGGAACTTCTCTGCCGACGAACTCTCCCGTATGGCTAGGAAATGGGCACTCTTGGTCAATCGATCCACGATGACCCATATAACATCAAACCCCGTTGCCGTCTTCGGCAACTTCGTGATGAAATCCATTGCGATCCTTTCCCATTTCCACATGGAAATCTCTAGAGGCTGTAACTTACCATGCGACCTCTGATGCTCGGCCTTGACCATCCTACAGGTCAAGCACCTATCAACATACCAAGCGATATCTCACTTCATACTAGGCCACCAATAACTCGAACTCAAATCACGGTACATCTTGGTGGCTCCCTGGTGAATCGAACTTATGACCCTCCTCCATCACTGTCTGTCTGACCCCTCCGGATGGTTGTGGGTATTCCAACCTGATGGTTGTGGGTCGTGAGTATTCCACCCCGAGGATGATTGGACTTGTAGTATATGGGCATTCCAACCTGTTGGTTGTGGGCCTGGAGTATTCCATCCCGAGGATGGTTGGACCCATATTATGTTGACATTCCAACCCGATGGTTGATTGACCCATAGTATGCTGTTTGTGGTTATATGTGTATTGTTGTGTGTATGGTATTTTGGGGAACTCACTAAGCTTTGTGCTTACGGTTTCAGTTTATTGTTTCAGGTGCTTTAGATATCTCGGCAAGACGAAGGCGTGACTGTACATATCCTCATGTTTTGGACTTATGGTTTCTGGGATACTCTAACATTAATATTATTTGAAAACATTTTGTAATAACTAATGGCTTTTGGATGCTTGAAAAAGTTTTAAATTGGCTTGATTTTTATGGGTGTCACAGAACAAAAATGTAGAAACCCTAGAACACTAGTATATAATAAAAAAAAATACACTATCAGGGTTACAAAACATGCTATATAGGAATAACAATCTGAATCCTTAGTGTTGTTGAGACTTTGAGAACAAGGTTCACAATTGTCGCGCCTCTAATGGCTCACACCCAACACTAGTAATAGAAGAATGTTTGAGAAGGAGGAGGGAGGTTGCAATTTTTGGCTGGTACTCTTCAAGAACAAGTGGCAAAAAATCATAGGGTATTAGTAATATTTATAGTGCAATCATGAAACCCTAGATAAGCCCAAATCCAAGATTATCTTAAACTAGGTAATTATCCACTTTTCTGATTATCCATTAGAGACTATTCTAGAAACCCTAAGGCACTAGAAAAACAGTCAATAGCCTAAGGAGGGTTGTAAATTCATTATTGCTCAACTATTGAACAATTACAATTCAGTCCATAAACTTTTAATCAATTCTTTTAATCCCAAAATTAATTCTAATTAATTTCTGATAAAATATTAATTAAACATTACTATTTCTAATTAATATATTATTCTCATAATATATTAGCAAATTATTTATTTTAATTTATTAATCAAATAATAAGTTAACTTTTTTCTCCAAAATCATCCTGTCTAGTTGCTAGTCTTGAGGGTAACCCAAAAAGATTGTGCTACTATCAATTCAAGTATATACCAATTATATATTGGATTAGTGTCTAAGGCTGTAACTATATTTGGTAAGTACTTGACCCGGTTGTGCATGGTCCTTTTGGGTTGCCTTCACCATAGCAACTTGACATGATGATTTGTAAAGAGAGAAGAGATATTATTGTTAATATATTATGAGAATAATATATTAAAGGAATAATAATATTATTTGATTAATATAAGTCATATATTAATTAAGAATTAATTTGGTGACTTAAAGAGATTAATTGAATAAAGGGGCATAAACTGTCAAATGTGTGATAATTGTGTTTTGGGCTATGAATCCTTATGGATATAAGGGTGGACGATTTTTAGGGTTTGGATATCTTAAAATCGTCCAAGCATAATATCTAGGAGGATCTTTGGATTGCTTAGGGCCTAAGTTATTCAATTAGGGTTAAGGGTGAAACCCTAATAGCTCATAATATAAATAGATCCCTTGGGTGAGGGAAATCGGCATTCATGCAAGACAATAAACCCTAGGGCCGATTTCTCACCCTCCCCACTCTCTCTCAATATCATCCTCTTGCTAGTTGGTGTTTGTAAGCCATTAGAGGAGTGACAATTGTGACTCTAAGCTCCAAGAACAAGAAGTTTCAAGCAAGCAACTTAAGGTATTCTTCTAGATCTGTTTTATATGATATGATTCAACTGTTTACACTAGATCTAAAATTGTAAGCCTTGGATACATTGCATGTTCAATTAGAGAAACCTAGATCCAAGCATTAGGGTTTGCATGCGCACATAGGAAAGTTCTTATGGCTAAAACTCATAATTATAGTTATGAGCTTAGACACCTAATATAACTAATACCCAACTTACAAACAAGACCACAAGTACTATGAGGATCCCTATTTATAGACTGGGAAATACCTAAAATCCTAATACAACTAATACCCAACTTACAAACAAGACCACAATCGCTTTTAGAGACGTCCACCTTGAGTAACAATGCATGGGAACCAGCTAAGCACATGGAGTGCAAAATGATGCTACAAGGGCGCATCATGTGCCATAGGGGCATTATGCTCCATGAGGGCATATCATGCTCCATGGGGGAACATCTTTATTCAGTACATTCATCAACAATGCATCCTTGGACCTCCTTGAACACCATAACAAATCATCACATCAAGATGGGGTGTACCATCTAGCCAAGGGTACACAATGTACTATAAGGGTGCATCATACACTATAAGGGCACATTATGATACCAACATCACATCAATTCCACATACGGACCAACATCATTCTAAAGTGCACAATACCATGCCCCCAACGCATTTGGCAATATGCACTTGGTAACCTTTGGGCACATCCTGTTTCCAGAAGAGGGGGGGGGGGGAGGGGGGGGGCATATGTTAAGACTCCTTGAGAATGCTTCCAAATGCTCCAACTTTGATTATACATGCTCTAATTTTCAAATGCTCAAGTTATATTTAACATTGTTTTTTCAAAAAGGTTAAAATGATAATTTATGTCATTCAACACACTCATTTAAATGTCTTACCAAACAACGTATATTCATTTAAGCCTATGAATCATTCACATCTCTAAATGGTTCAACTTTAAATCATTTAAATGTTACAAAATAACCCCTAACACAAACATTATCATTATCCTATAAAATGGTGTAAATGAGAAGTAAGAAGTAGGTAGCATCTACTATTAGTAGGAAGGTTGCTTTCGAGGGTGACTTGCAGCATAAAAGAAAAGATAACTAAATAAGCAAAACTTGTCTTGTTCGAGGAGCATCCACACTACATAAGCTCCATCAATATGAAATATTAGCCCAAAGTAAAGAATAAATAAATAAATAAGATAATAAATGAATAAAATTTATTTGTATGTACCTCCACACCGAATAAACTCATAAGATATGAGATATAAAACATTATTTAAAGATAGAAGATAAATAGTAACATGCGGCTAAAAAGGAAATGTAAACATTTTACATATACATGCAATAAAATGAAACACAAATATAGCAAGGGCAAGTAATGTAAATATTGTTACATATATAAGAACAATGAAAGCATATACTAGAAGTAAAACATGTAGAAAAACGAGGCAGTGTAAGCTATAAGCTATTTGGGGGAAAAGAAACAATAGTAGAACGGTGAAACTAGGTGGAAAACGCACAAAAAATGAAGCTAGTGTCCTAGATCTCACTTTTTTTTTTTTTTTTTTTTTTTTTTTTTTTTTTTTTTGTTGTGCATGTCAAACACAAATTTACATAACATAAATTTGTGAAACATGAACACGACATAAACTGTAAGACATGTTTTGGGTATCAAATACAAACATGACACATAATTAATTTATATAAGATATTACGGACACAAATAGATAAAATTTTAACCATGTTACATGAAAACATAAATTTATACAAGTTTATATATGCATAGCCTAATACCAATTGAAGCTAGGAAAACATGCATTTAATTTGTGTATATACATGTTAATATGTATGTAGGTATCGCATGTTCCACCATTATTTGAGATTATATAATACTTTTATACTATTTCACTATTTTAATTCTACGTCTTCATTTCCTTGTATTTGAGATCATGACTTCCGTAAAAGACTAAAAGAACCCTTCAAACCTAACTTCACAATATCCTTCCAAAATCCTCTCTCTCTCTCTCTCTCTCTCTCACACACACACACACTCATTTGTCTTGCTTATTAGCAAACTTTGCATTCGAAAGCGACAAATGGAGAACCTACGGTCCTAGCTTATCCTTCCTTGGTCCAAACTAATCCTAATACTTGGATACATCGTTGTCATTAATATTACAAAATTACATTACAATATGTAAATATTATACTTTAAATATCAGGATTAACAAGTAACAGCTTTTTTACAAAACTACAACAATTTGTTAGTATTACAAAATCACAGCAATTTACAGTATTAATTTGTATTTATACGGTGATATACGGTATTGAGTATTGTCCGGTCATTAAACCGGCAAAATCAGGTAACAGCCGTTACCTTTTTCCAGCAAACCCTTGGGCCCCATATAAAACCAACCACCGCTGTCATCAGCTACCGTCCCACTATCCCCCATTTTACTAACGTGGCGGAATATCCGCCGTTGATATTCATGTTCCCCTAGATCCTAATCATTCATCATTCCAACCTTTTAACCATAGTTACAGAATTTCCCCTTTTAGTTTCTCTAATCTCACACTTTGGCCCCTTTCACACTCCCTCTTTCAGCCAAACCAGCCGCTCATGCAACCACCGCAAAGTCCCACATCTATTAATTCCACACAGACAATTATGAGCAAAACATCACGGGATTAAAGTGGCTGTGGATCACGATTGATCTATGGATGAAGTCAACGGCGTGGTGCCTCCGTACGCCGCCGGTGTCGGTGTCGGTGTCGGATTCGGAGGCAATTTTCGGAAAGTGTCGAGGGAGGAGGACTGGAGGTTTCACGCGACGGAGTTCGCGAAGGGAGTGGCGGAATTGAGTGTTGAATTTGGGAAAGGATGTAGGGATGTAGTGAGGCAGAGTATATTGAGAGATGATTCGTTCGTTGTGAGACATTTCAGAGGTCCGTGCAAGGCCGCTTGTACGAAATTGAAGTTTTTAAACGAGTATCTGCCTGAAGATCGCGATCCGATGCACTCGTGGAGTGTGGTTTCCGTCGTTTTCGCCGTCGTTATTGCAGGTAATATCGGTTTCGTTTTGTAAGCGATTTTGCGTGGGTTTTTCCGGAAATTGGAAGGGAAAACTACACTATATTCGATTATCTTATCCAGTCTTCTGATTTCTGATTTTATTTCTCTCATTTCTGGTAGAATTCATCAATTGTAAATCAATCGATCTGGATGTGGAACTTTTTTCTAGGGATGATTAATAATTGACTTTTTCCTCTGCTGGTTTCTTTGTCTTCTCTATTTTGGGTTAGGAAAAAGAGGCAATCCAAAAGAATCACCTAATTTGATTCAGTATATTCATTTACAACAGAACAAACTCAATTTTCCTTGTTATCCATTGATCACTATAATCGAGCATCATAATCGTTAGTATCGCAAATTACTTCTTCTGTATGGTTGACGTACTAATAAAGCAGCTCATATGATCAACATTTCTACATATAAATACCGTTGAAGAGATGAATTTTTGTTAGTTATTTTCTAGCTTAATCTGCTTTTGCACTAAATGCGTTATGAAAGATCATCTCCCCCTTCATATACTTGACCTTGATTTTAATGTCACATTTGAACATGTTAACTTCAGTTTTCAAATTGCTTAAAAGGTTTCGGAATGTCAATAACTGATGGGATGATAAACTAATGAAGCTTTTCAATTTCCAATCTTTAAAAACCGATCACTTCAAATTGCAAATGAAAAAAGAATCCCATTACACTTCTGACCGACAACAATCAACTTCATGCAGTTCTAATTGCAACCTCTGAAAGCGATACAACCACCCAACTTATACAAAAATTACACATATACCCTCCAAATGCAACCCGTATACTATTACCAGATGGGAGACACTTGGCTTACCATGAACAAGGCGTTTCATTTGACTCCGCTCGATTTACCCTCATTGCACCACATTCTTTCCTCTCATCAAGACTTGCAGGTAAAAACATGATACAAAAAGATAACTTTGTGGAATTTGAATTCATTACATGTTTCAATATTTTTTCTTTCTTTCTTTTATCTAAACAGGAATACCTGGAATCAAGGGTTCACTGCTAGAAGAATTTGGTGTTCGATTGATAACATATGATCTTCCTGGATTTGGGGAAAGTGATCCTCACCCACAAAGGAACCTTGAATCATCAGCAATGGACATGTTATATCTATCATATGCTGTTCATATAACAGACAAGTTTTGGGTAGTTGGATACTCATGTGGAAGCATACATACATGGGCTGCACTCAAGTACATTCCCGATAGAATTGCAGGTAATTCACCATTTTCTAAATCAAATACTTTTTTTTTTTTAAAAATCTGATTATCTTGAACTCAAATTACAGGTGCTTTCATGGTAGCACCTTTGGTGAATCCATATGAAGCAAGCATGAATAAGGTTGAGACACGTAGGACATGGGACAAGTGGACAACAAAACGGAAATTTATGTACTTTTTAGCACGGAAGTTTCCGGTAGCTCTTCCGTATTTCTACAAACGCAGCTTTTTGTCAGGAAATCTTGATCGAATAGACAAGTGGCTCTCAATGTCACTTGGAACAAGGGTAATTAGTAATCAATCTTATTATATAACCTTGATCAATAGATAAAAAAAAATTCTAATTGTGCTGAGTTGGCACTTTTCAGGACAAGGGTATTATAGAAGAAGTGAAATATCAAGAGTTTTGGACGCGGGATTTAGGGGAGTCAGTTAGACAAGGTAATGTAAAGCCATTTGTAGAGGAAGCAGTGTTGCAAGTATCAAATTGGGGTTTTAGCATAAGTGATCTCAATGTTCAGAAAAAACACCAAGGGAAAGGCGTATTTTTTTGGCTTAAATCTTTATACAAAAGACCACAACAAGAGTTGACCGGCTTCCTTGGCCCAATACATATCTGGCAGGTCCGTACACACCAAACCTGTACTGTTATGTTATGTACTGTTATGTCATGTCATGTCATGTTCTGTTCTGATCTGTTTGTTTACAGGGGATGGAAGATAGGGTGGTGCCACCATCAATGAGTGAATATGTGCATCGGATTCTACCGGGAGCAATGGTGCATAAGCTTCTTTACGAGGGTCATTTCACCTATTTTTATTTTTGTGAAGAATGTCATAGACAGATGTTGACCACAGTATTTGGGAACCCTCAAGGTCCGTTGACTGTTGAAATTGATTTGATTCCTCCTGTGAAGGATAAGGATGATGTTGATGAAAAAAATGAAGAGATGGAAGAAGAGGTTGAAGTTAGTTATTCAGATGTTACTTTTATTTAGTTCTATGAATGATTAATATGCAAATTTTAGATGCATACAAAAGAAGAGGTGATTTCATATATATAGCTGTTTGAAATGAAAATAACACTTTGTAGGCTGGACAGAGATTAGCAAAATCCACGAGCCAAGCAAGATAATTTGATGGTTATACAAAATAAATGATAGATTTGTAATTCCAGGTCGTTTTTATTTTGATCTTAATTTTTTAATCATATTATAATATCCCAAACTCCAAATAGTGTGTTAACTGTTTATGAAAACATATACTTTTTTGGGGAAAAAAATTCGGAATGTATCAAACGGCTCAAATGTTACATGTAAGTTGTGAAACACATGCATCCTATGATCTAAAGCATGGATTCAATGAATCATTAAAAAAGAAAATCTCCCCACATTACAGATGTAAATTCACATCCATCCCACAAAGAAAAAATAAATGTTGCCTTACGACTTTTTGTATTATTATTATTATTATTATTATTTGTAGTTTTTGTCATGATCATTTACCATATGTATAACGGCTATCAGCAAGTGAGTAAATTACATCATTTAAATTGCATCGTACTTTTATAAAAATGAAAAAGCATATGACTTTTGACTAAATGTTAATTATACATAAATTTATTAATTTCAAGTACTAAGTATTTTAGTATTTACAGAAGGAGAAAAAAAGCAGAGGTAGGTTTAAAAACTTCAATAAAAAAAAAAAAAAGTGTGATTTCGGGGGTTATGAACACACAAGCTCATAAACCCCTCTCAATCCGCCATCTGTTGACCAAAAACGAGCACCAAGCTCGCCACTCGCCACCTCCCTTCCGATTTCTACGTGAATGTCGGTATTCGTATCCCACTCTGCAATAACTTCTACTCGCACTCTCTGTTCTTCTTCGAGGAGTTTCAGTTTCGTTCGCTTTCTCTCTATCCAGTTCGTTCATCGTCCTCGCTTTATCATCGCTTCTAACATCTCGGATTTCATGCCGCGTAACCAGGTATTTCATCAATAACACCTCTGTTTACTTAACTTTTCGTTAGTAATTGGTTTTATTTTATTCGTGGGTGGGCAAGGGTTTATGAGAAAAATTATTAGGCTTTAATCGATTAATCATATATGAGAAGTATGTTTCGTATTATTTTTACTCGATGATTGCGCTATTGTCTGTACAGTGTCATGTAATTTGGCTCCATCGCTACTAATAATTGGCTAAGTTTGATTTTGTCCAGAAAAGAGGTGGTCACCCAGACCAGAGGTGGATTCAGAAGCCAAGCAGTAGCAAAACGGATGAAACGTTTGATGCTGCAGAAGTTAAGTCTGCAGCTTCTACTGAGGCTATCACAAATGGAGTTAATAGGCTTGCTATTGCTGAAAACAGTGCACGATCCTCTGTTCCTGTGCCACAGTTTGGGAGTATCACCGTGAATGATGTAGCAGTAGCACCTCCTCATGGTCAAAGCAATGGGCAGTCGTCCGATGTTTCAGTTGGATGTTCTCCCGTAATAAATGCCAACTCTTTACATGGTAAAAAATACGTCTACCAACCAAAGTATTATGGGACAGTTTCTGGTGATGCTGCAAAAGAAACTACAAGACAGGAAACAGCAGCTCAAAATGCTGCTTTGAGCCGTTTGTTCAAAAAAGATTTGTTGGAGAATTTTAATGTAGATAACTCGACTTACTCCACTGCCAAAATCAGAGCAACATTCTATCCCAAATTTGAAAATGAGAAGTCTGATCAAGAGGTAAAGAAATTCTCTTGTTCATTTCATTGTAGTTATGATGTTTGGGGGTCTATAAACATTACCTCTTTGTATTTCTTTGATTCCAGGTTAGGATAAGGATGATTGAAATGGTCTCAAAAGGCCTAGCTACAGTGGAGGTATGCAGTCCCTGTAATCTCTGATGCTCCTTTAACATACTTTTATGGTTGATAATGCTCATTGGTATCTTCTGATTGACTTCCATGGTGTTATTAGGTTTCACTCAAACACTCTGGATCTCTTTTTATGTATGCTGGCCATGAGGGTGGAGCGTATGCAAAGAACAGCTTTGGGAATGTGTATGATGAGAGCCCCTTTCTTTCTTTCTTTCTTTCTTTCTTGTTTTTCTACTAAATGCATCTTCAATCCAGTTATCAAACTCTTTGCTTAAATTGGCCATTTTGGTTTTCTCTTATTAAACTTTTTGTATGTCATGTAGTTATACTGCAGTTGGAGTTTTTATTCTTGGAAGAATATTTCGCAAGGCATGGGGGACAGAAGCCAGCAAAAAGCAAGCAGAATTCAATGAATTCCTTGAGGTAATTATGATGTTAACATTCTGATGATAATCATTGATATAATAGATACTACAAAAGTTGTTTGTTTAGTTTCTTCTTGAATATGAGGTAAATTAAAGATAACTCTTTGTTCTTCCTTCATTTCCCTAATGTCTTCCCATTATACCCTTAGCGAGAACACATGAGCATATCAATGGAATTAGTAACTGCTGTTCTAGGAGACCATGGACAGAGACCTCGTGAAGATTATGTTGTTGTGACAGCTGTCACTGAATTGGGCAATGGGAAGCCAAAGTTCTACTCCACTCCAGAGATTATTGCATTTTGCAGAAAATGGCGTTTACCTACAAATCATATTTGGTTGTTTTCCACAAGGTAATCTTCTCAAATACTCCCTCCATTTCATATTAAATTGGTGGATCTTAATAAAAATCAATAACTGAAACATGTTTATTTGTTTCTTCAAGGCACTCTGTAACATCATTTTTTGCTTCTTACGATGCTCTATGCGAGGAAGGCACAGCTACATCTGTATGTAAAGCTCTTGATGAGGTGGCAGATATCTCTGTGCCAGGTGTGCAACCATTTATTTCCATCAAATTAACTGCTGAATTAAGAAAAGAACATGGATAGATAGATGGAAACACTAATGTATCTCGACAATAAGTATGACTTATATACAATATAGAATCCTAAAACATATACAAACAATGTTGAATGATTACAGGATCAATAGACCACATAAAGGTGCAGGGTGAGATTTTGGAGGGTCTTGTTGCACGTATTGTAAGTCATGAAAGCACAAAACAAATGGAGCTTGTTTTACAAGATTACCCTTCACCCATAGAGGAAGGTTTGCTACCCTTTTCACCTAATTTCATGTATGTATATATATATATATATATATATATATATATATATATATATATATATATTGTTTTCCATACATTATCATTTATTTTTGTTTTGCTTATGTGGCAGTTGATCAAGATTTGGTACCAGGTCTACGGGAAATATGTGCTGCAAATAGATCTGATGAGAAACAAGTAATCTTTTAATCTCTTTTTAATACTTTATACTAGAGACTTTTAATAATCTTGATATACAATGCAGCAAATAAAGGCGCTTCTTGAAAATGTTGGGAAATCTTTTTGTCCAAATTATGTGGATTGGTTTGGATTTGAAGCTGCTGATATACCTCCAAGAAATGCTGATAAATCAGTTGTTTCCAAATTTCTACAAACAAATCCTTCTGATCATACTACCTTTAAATTAAAGGTAATCCAAACTCTTTTATCAAGTTTCAGTATAAATAACACACCAAAACAGTATTTTAATTACATGATATATATATATATTTTTTTTTTCTTCAGGAAATGGTCAGATTGATGAAAGAAAAACGTTTTCCTGCTGCTTTCAAGTGTTACTATAATTTCCACAAAATTAATTCAATGTCTAGTGATAATCTTCATTATAAAATGGTGATCCATGTGCATAGTGATTCAACCTTCAGGAGATACCAAAAAGAGATGAGATTCAAGCCAGATTTATGGCCACTATATCGAGGTTTTTTTGTTGAAATTAATCTGTTCAAGGCAAGTAAAGAGGAGATTTCCAAAAATACCCCTGACTTTGGAAAAAATTACAAAGATGGCGATGAAACGTCTACAAAAAACAGTTTAGCAGATGAAGATGCAAATCTAATGATCAAGCTGAAATTTCTTACATATAAGGTATTATATATATATATATATATATTATTCCCTAGTCATGTGGTTGAAATTACTTTTATACCCTTGTGACATAATTCTGTCATGACACAGCTGCGAACTTTCTTGATTCGCAACGGGTTGTCGATTCTTTTCAAAGAAGGTCCAGCTGCCTATAAAACCTACTACCTCAGGTAACCTTCACACACAAGGGCATTTATGTCATTTTTTGATATCATTTTGTCATAATCAGACCAAATTGCATGATGTAGGCAAATGAAGATATGGAACACATCACCAGGAAAGCAGAGACAACTCAGTAAGATGTTGGATGAATGGTAATGAAGGAAGAAGGATTTAGTATTTTTTTAATTTTTTTATAAGAAAAGAAATTATAAATTATATAAAATTTCAGGGCAGTGTACATAAGAAGGAAATACGGGAACAAACAGCTGTCATCATCAATCTACTTGAGTGAAGCTGAGCCTTTTCTTGAACAATATGCAAAAAGGAGTGAAGAAAATCAAGCTTTGATAGGGTGTGCTGGAGATTTAGTAAGAACTGAAGATTTTTTAGCCATTGTTGATGGAGGTAGAGATGCAGAGGAAGAAGAAGAAGGTGATTTGGAGAGTGAGAAGGTTCTAGAAGCTTCTAGTCCAAAACCAGATGCTGTACATAAAAAGGAAGGTCTTATAATATTCTTTCCTGGAATACCTGGTTGTGCTAAATCTGCACTCTGTAAGGAAATGTTAAGTGGCTCAGAAGGTCTTGAAGATGATCGACCTATTCATAGTCTCATGGGTGACCTTATAAAAGGTATAATAATAGTATAATAATAATAATATTATTATAATGAAATATTTATATAAAAATCTGAAAGGGAAATATTGGCAAAGAGTTGCGGATGAGAGACGAAAGAAACCGAATTCTATTCTCCTTGCTGACAAAAATGCCCCTAATGAAGAAGTATGGAGGCAGGTAACTTTTTCTCATCTTTCCAAGATTTTACAATTAAGCCCTTGGAGTTATACTTGGTTGTCATTTTTTCCAGATTGAGAACATGTGTCGTACCACTAAAGCATCTGCTGTACCAATTGTTCCAGATTCTGAAGGTTCTTATTATTATTATTATTTTTTTATAAATGGATATAAATTTGATTGATTGTTACTTAAATTTTTTGTAGGAAGTGAATCAAATCCATTTTCTCTTGATGCATTAGCAGTTTTCATGTATCGTGTAGTCAACCGAATCAATCACCCTGTAAGTTTCTTCTCTTATATCTTTGGTGTCTAAATTCTTGATTTTTATGATTTTATGTTTTTAATTAATAGGGAAATCTCGATAAATCGTCTCCAAATGTTGGATACGTGTTGCTAATGTTCTATCACCTTTATGATGGAAAGGTATAACAACATTAACACCTCAAAAAAGCCCTATGATGCTTTATTTTCTCACAAAAAAAACAAAACCATTATTTTTTAATAATATTATTTTTCACATATTCCAGAGTCGTAGAGAATTTGAAAGTGAACTTATAGAGCGTTTTGGATCCCTTGTAAAGATGCCTCTCTTGAAATCTGAAAGGTAATGTAAATACTAAATACTAATTTTCTAATGTTTAGGTGACTTATATTTTATATTTTTATTTTTATTTTTTTGGCGTGTAAAGGGGCCCACTACCTGATTCAGTGAAGACAATATTGGAAGAGGGAATTAATCTATACAGGCTGCATACTAATAGGCACGGGAGGTTGGTTTTTTTTTCTCTCAAAAACTTTAATTCTTAATTGGTGTAACTTTATTATTATTATTATTATTTTTGTTTTTTAATTTGTAGATTAGAGTCGACTAAAGGGACATACATAAGGGAGTGGGTTACATGGGAAAAGCAACTTCGTGAGGTTTTATTTCAAAATGCTGAGTATTTGACATCTATTCAGGTAACATCTTTTTTTTTTTTTTATTATTAAAAGACCAGATTACGCTCATTATTTTTTTATACATGGAAATAAATAAAAAAAAGTTCTATTTTACAGGTTCCATTTGAATTTGCTGTTAATCATGTGAAAGAAGAGCTGAAAAAAATCACAAAAGGAGAATACGAAACACCATCAAGTGAAAAAAGGAAATTTGGAACCATAGTTTTTGCTGCCATTGATGTTCCTGTTGCAGACGTTCATAATCTCCTTTCAAATGTGAGTAAGTGCAACAAGGGTTAAACACATAACTTTAGAAAATGGAGGGGCTGAAACTGACATTTTAGGAAGTTCAAAGTGATATTTTACAAAGTATAGGGGTGAAAAGTATGGTGTCATTCTACAAAGTTAAGATGGTCAAAGTGATATTTTACAAAGTATAGGGGTGGAAAGTGTCAGTAGAGAGGTATGGGGGTGAAAATGATATTTTAAAAAAATAGAGGGGTGGTGGAAAATGTCATATCTGAAAGTTGAGGAGGGTTTGATGTTGCTTTTTGGTATATCGTATAATTGTGTAACTTATTTATTATGAATATAACAACAGATAGCTGAGAAGGAGGCAAAAGTGAAAGCATTTTTGGAGAAGAAGGACATGGAAGAGAAACTAAAGAAGGCACACATAACCCTGGCCCACAAAAGAAGCCACGGTGTAACCGCGGTTGCAAACTATGGTCAATTTGTGAACCAAAAGGTCCCTGTGGATGTGAATGCGGTTTTCTTTTCAGATAAATTAGCAGCATTGGAAGTCAACCCTGGGTCAATTGATGGTCAAAAGATTAACTGTAAAAACGAGTGGCCTCATTTGACTTTATGGACAGCTGAAGGCATTCAGCCCAAAGAAGCCAATAATTTGCCTCAGTTGTTTTTGGAGGGAAAAGCTACTCGTGTTGAGATCAACCCACCTTTTAGTATCGTTGGGGTTTTGCAATTCCATTGATTTGAGGTTTTTCTTCAAATTAACAATTTTGTTCGGTGGTTTGAGAGATGAAAGTTGAGTTGTTTAGGGTTTTATGTAGATGGTTTTTACCATAATAGATTATACAAATAGACACGTGATCGAATAATGTGATGTAACGCTAGTGACTAGTTCATTTATCAAGGTTTTAATGATTTATCTAATGTTCCATATATGTGAGAAAATTAATGGTCCTTATGTTGGAGAAAATTGGAGTCTGTATAAAAAATTATGTTTTATCTAATTGTCCCCATGTTTGAGAAAATTACGGAAATGGTCTTTGCAAAATTATTTATCGGTCATTATGTTTGAGAAAATTACAGTAATGGTCTCTGTGTAAAAATTATGTAATGGTCCTTATAGTTATTTGTAGTTATTTGTCGAGGATACTTCAAATTTTATCAAACAAATTTACTTCCCATGTTTTTTTTATAGATTGGAAAATTAAGGACAACATTACATTGATCAATGTATAAGGAATATAGATCTATGATTAGGGTTGTGTTTTAGCGATAAAAACTTGATTTGTAGAACTGAAAATGTAGCTAACAAGGAAGCAAGTTGAACTACTCAAAACCTATATAAAAGTGTATATTAGATTGTTGCAAGCTCTTAAATCGTTCTATTAAAACATAGATCATTACCTCAACTAGAGGAACAATAACCATTACACCATCTAAAAGCATCTTTGGGGAATCATAAGTCATTAAAATCCATGGAAAAGTCATTATAATCCATGGAACATGAGATACTTTTTTCTTACATAGAAAATTTTACACCATTCGGGTCAACTCGTGGAGCTCCAGGTTCTAACCCACTCGGTTATGGTGGCTACATTCCTGTTCATGTCATCAACTGAATCACTTTTCATTGCCACAACAATCTCCTCTTTGTAACTATCTTTAGCTTCCTCCAACAAAACTTGAAAGATTTCACATTCAATGTTGTTTGTTAGCTTTGCACCACTATAACCCCTACATAATCCCCCCACAAATTCATCAATATGATGCGTGTAACAATCAAAATCTATTAACTCAAAAAGAATTGAAGAAAGAGGAGCACAACACACCTTTTGGTCAAACGATCGTAAAGAATGGAGTTTTCCGTTTGGAGCACCACCACACGGTCAAACCACCGTTCAGGAAAGAAGTCACAACCATGGTGGTCAACGATGTTCCCTCCGCCTTCCATTATCTCCTCAAGTTCATCACAAACCTGCAGACAGTTTAATCATCAGGTACATAACCTAAACCTTCAATCTCTGAACCAATTACTCTTTGCAGATTCATTCACAGAAACTGATGATTTTTACCCAATCAATCGTGATACAACTTTGATAACAACTCCTTAAAATCTCATACATAGCACGATTACAATCGCAATTTTATCAAATTGTGAAAGCAAATCATTAGTAGCAAACGGAATTAGCTCTTGTGTGTGAAATAGGGAAATAGATCGTTATGATAGAGAATAAAGATATTACGAGATCTTCATTGACGATGTAGCATTCGAGTTGATCGTCCCAACCATCGTGCAACTTCTTATCCCTAACAAGGTCGCCGATGTTGATATGGCGTAGATTAGTTGCCTCGGCCAGCGCCGCCGACGTCGTAGTCTTCCCTGTCCCCGGTGTACCGGTGACTAGCATGTTTGGCTTACTCCTCATCGCCTCCGGCTGTCTTTTAAGTTTTAAGGTTTAACACAATTTCAGAGACGATGTTTGTGGGCGGCGTGGCGTTCTTCTTTTTGGTTTTGCTAGTGAAAGAACAAAAAACTTTCACTTAGACCCCTCGTTTATGGGTAAGGTTCAGATAACTCCTCATATTTTCACAAACAATGTTGTAGACAATTATGCACCATCCACATTTCTTTTTGGAATAGATAAAAATAGTTTGACATTCCATTTTGATTGCAATCTCAAATTGAGGTGTCAAATAATTACTAAGATATACATAAATAGATTGACGTGGTTACTTTGTTTAAAAAAACACAATCCTTGTTTATTTAAAAAAGGGTAATATACATTATTATGGTAGCAACATTTGTAGTTTTGTAATTGGATTTAACACATTAGCTTTTTAAAATTCAAAAAATAAACAAAAATATCTGCAAATCAAGTAATCATCCAAGTATCCAACCCAAACCCGACCCATATCAATAATCAGCCTATACTCGTGATTAGTTTGATAATGAGAAGAGTAGAGTTTGCATGCAAAAGCCTCAAGGCAAAGTGAAAGTGGGGTTAATTTTTGTTGTAAGTAAGTAACCATTTTGATTTATTCTCAAACTTGAATCACAAATTCTACACTCAAAGCCAATATAAAAAAGAGAAAATACATAATAATAATAATAATAATAATAATAATAATAATAATAATAATAATAATAATAGTATTCCTTTTTCAAAAACTTGTAATCTTCTTCTATTGAATGTTTACATTTCTCCTATATATGATCTTTATCATTATCATTATCATCATCATCAAACAGATGATCTTTCTCATCTGTACTTCGATTAACATCATCCGCCCTTTCACCATCTGTAAAATTCCCATTGGTTTCAGTACCATTAACCTCCTCTGACTGCATACTATCCATCATCCCGGACAAAGCCAACCGTGGGTCCCACTCAAGGACATCATCAATAATATTAGAAACCCGCCTCTGATACCTGTTCGAAAAATAAAAATAAAAACAAATAAATAAACAAAGTGCAACTAGAGAAATGAAAACTGATAAAAACGATTAGAATAAATAAAACCTAGCCCTAGCAGCCTCATCAGGTGCATGATGCCTCAAAAGCAGAATGGCTAACACAGCAACAATTGCAAAGAAGAATCTTGCTGTAAGTTTTGGCTTTTCTTCTTCATCTTTTTTGGGCCAAAAACGGAAAAGCTCACGCAGTGTTGCTTCCTCAGCCAAAATGTTTGGGAATATCCAGATCCTCCTCCCCAGTAAAATCCATGATGCACCAAATATTAACCCCCGAACTACATTCAATTCATGAAAACATTATATATATATTTTTCACATGATAAATATACAAGAGAGATGCATTAAAAGTAAGAGTTTCTAAAAAAGATAATAAGAAGAAGAAGAATAGGCTTACCCAAAAGAAGGCAAAGTATAAGGAGGAGTACCCCAGCACAAGAGTAGAGTATAAGCAGCTTTGCCTGGTGGGGATACACAGGGAATAAGCAGATTGCAAGAGTCAAAACAGGCCAACTTAATGACAAAAGTGTTTGCCATAAAGGTCGCTTGTTTACAAACGTCCATGCAAAAAACGCATCATTATCAGAAAACTCCTGATCCTGTAGTCAACAAAAGTCAAACCCAATCAAAAACTTTCAACCAAAGCATGTGATTTGTGATATATATATATATATATATATATATATATATATATATATATATATATATATATATATATATATATATATATATGTAAGAATTAAGAACAACTTACGGGATATATCTCTAGATGAGCTGGCCAGGTGGAGAGTTTTCTCTTGCCAGGGCGTACTGTTTTGACAACACGATCGCAACGGACTAAAAGATTCTTGCTGAGAAGGACATTGACAATATCTTCTACTTCTAGATGCCTATCTGATTCTAAGATGTCTTTCAGCTCTGGATGATTTCTCAAAAAGGTAACAAAATCTTTTCCTCTAAAGTACTCAACACGGGTTTCCTGTAACACCGCCCACCGAGACACCAAGTCTTTATGATCTCTCACTTTCTCAGCAAATAATTGGAAAACATCTTTCTTGTTCGCTTGTTTCTGGATTCATGCAACAACAATCAACAAAAACTAACAAACAACCATTAAAGATGACAAGGAGACGAATACAAGAGTAAAATCCAGTCACATTTCTCACTACTCTCGACATATTGATGTTCATCTACATGACTACAATTGTTGATAACAATAACCTGAGAGTGATGGTGTGGAATCATGAAGGAATGCATCATCCTTTTACCTCAATTGTTATGAGAAAGCATTTTCTGATGAAATATTATGTTGAGAAAAGCTGGAACAATTGATTTCATAGTAGCTATGATGGTCCAATGATGCAATCAACAACTCATAAGTTAAAACCCAAAGGAAGTGGATTTGGTTCTCATATGCAATAGAAAGTAATTAAACCCCTGAGGAAAACAACCGTTTTAAGTCCCCATAGTTCCACATAAGAAGCATTTTTTTTTAACAATCTGACACGAAATTCTTCGCAAAACGAAAGGATTATAATGTAGCAATTACGAGGAATTACACCTGCAGAGCTACACATACTATACAAAGTTCAAAATCATGATCGCAACGTAATGCGTCTCATCACAAACACATGTAATGCTGAAGAACCAGCATAGAGTTTTCTCACACAGATCCAGCGAAAGCGGATAAACAGAAATGACAAAAGGACGATGTGAATCGATTATAGCGTGGGTGTAGGATCAGAAAAAAGGAAAAAGGAGGGGTAAGTTACCCTAGGAGGAGTATCGGTGGCTGGATCTCGGCTGGCAGCGGAGGATCGCCGGGCCCTCTTCTTCTCGGCTCCGGCTTTCTTCATTTTCCGTTTTGCTTGACCTAATTTTTCAGTTTTGGTTCCGTAAATGAACCGAAGAGCGAGAAGAGGAGTAGTCTGCTCTGCAAGGTGTTTTACACGCTGTAACAACGCGTGCCGAGCATGAATTATTTGTGAATAATGTGACCTTCATTTTCATTTTCATTTTTATTTGTATTTTTATTTGTATTTTTATTTTTATTTTCCTCCAACAAAGTTAAATTAATATGTATATTAATTACAAAAAGTATAAAGTATGGAATTATAAATATATAATATGATTTAGTAATATTTTATTTCATGTGTTTTGTTTTGTATTGAAAACCATTTTATTATATAAACTAAAAGATTAACTCTTTCAAAGGGTATGAGGAATCGTTTTAAATGTATGCTTTTTTATTATTTGATCATCTGTTGGTTATTGATTGTTTTTGGATAGTCAATTTATGCTATTTGAAAGGCTTTTGATTATCTACTATGGTTTAAATGATTTTGTTTTTTTATGTCGACATGTATGATTTAAAAGATTTTGTTTTTATGTCGACTACTCGACTAGTATGGTTTTAAGAGATTTGTTTTTTAATTTTTAATTTTTTTTTATGTCGGCCTTTTGAAATAAGAGATTTTCTTACACTAATTTGAGAAATGTCTTCCATTTTCATAAAGTGTAATTTGGGTTCACGTCTATTTAATGTTTTAAAAACCGGTTTTTTAGTTGAACCGGTATAATTACCGTTTTCCAATTCAACCGGTTTAATTGATTTGATCGTCGATTCAACTCCTTCTATAATTTTCATATTTCCCTATACGCACATAGACACCTATGAGTTTAAATATGAAACATATATATAAATACAAGTTGAAGATCAATCCACTTTTTTAACCGACGAATCTAAACTATTCATAAACTAAGACTTAATTTCACTTATGTTCATAACGAGATTTGAACTTTCAACCTCAAAGAATAAAAGCAATACAAGATACATTAAAAAACACATAGCCATGAGTTTTACATCAATCCACATACATCAAAAATAAAATAACATATGATACGAAAACAAAATATAGTTTTAGATAAATACAAACACACTAAAAAACTTCATAATAATTACCATGCGTTTTTATTCAAAGAAATCTAAGTCAATATGAAAAAAATACCAAAGTTTGTTATGCAAAATGATTCATTTCCATGTATTTTTATTTAATTTAACCAATTTAATCATGTTTTTGTAAAAATTGTCCTGTTCATTCCGGTTTAGAAATAGATATAAAATCGGTGATAATTGAACCGCTCCCTTCTCTGGTTCCCGATCCAACCGGTTTTTAAAACATCACATCTATTACCAAAACATATTGTGACATCCCCAAAATCTCGGCCAGAAAAGCCCAGTTTCATTTATGCTTTTTAAATATTTTTAGAGTAAATCATTTTGATTTAAAAGAGATGCGGAATTTGTTCCCAAAAACAAAACATGATAAAATAGATTTTTATCAAAACATTTCATATAGAAATATAATTTTATTTCATAATCAAAAATCGGGATGTCATGTTCCGATACAGATCATAAAGTATAAACGATAACATTACAAATCATACAACAAATATATACATATACATACTTGTAAACAAAACAACTTGATGATTCATCTATCTTATGCCCATGCGCCACTTCCTGTAATACAAATAAACTGAGTGGGTCAGGCTTGGGGGCCTGATGAGTATATATGGTTTTCAACCCACAATAAATAATTATATTTAATTTCAACAATCAACAATAACTCAATTACCCATTCCCGTTATCCTCACTTTACGTCCCTAAAAACAATATCTATTATAAGGAACCTAATTTAGGATTTTCATCGGAACGGACATTACTGCAGAGGGGCTTCCTCACAATAAGTGTCCTAAAGGCAACCATGTGGGGGATAGAGTACACCGGTGAACACATCGTTCACAACACCTACAGGTTATAAGTCTGCTAGCGTTCCACATGACTGTCTAGAATAGTCCGTGGTCGTCATCCATACTCTGCTGAATGACTAGAATAACACCATCAACGAGGCCTCTCATCAATTTATTTCATTGCGCACCAACTGTCTACCCATGTTCTACCCAACATATTAGTAGATAAAAATATACATGTTTTATACATAATTTAAAAGAAAGACTGTATATCATGCTTTTTCAATACTCCATCCAAATAGCAAGTATTATGTAAACACATAATAAGAAATTTCAAGGAGAATCATATAAGTCTATGTGTTAGAAGGTAATAATAATACCCTCACACAACCCATATTCTTAAATACATTCAACGATTACTTATATAATATCGTGTATTGAAAGGGTCTATACACTCACTTGATCAGAAGATGATCAGGCAACACTACGACTTGTAGAAGTAGTATTCTTCGGTAGATCTGGAAGATCTTCATAAAAACTAGGCTCCTCGCGGACAGGGCTTCGGTTTGGGAATCTCATTTCTAGGGATCCTCGGGCTTCGGAACTTGCTTCGGGGCTCGGGAATGATATCGGGTTTTCGGGGTATAATTGACACGCAAATCAAGGAAAAAGCTAGAGAGGAAGTAAGAATTTGGCAAAAGAATTAGGCTACCTTCGCATGCCCTTTTATAGGTGCTGAACCTCGCATTACGCTGGGCGTACTCCAGATAAGGCTCCACATGGCGATGTTTTGGTGGTGAATCGTGGCTCGTTCTCGGACCGCATACAACCGGGGTACGCTGGGTGTGCACAAGGCTACGCTGGGCATACCCTTCGGATCAGGTTGATGACTCCTCGGATATTATCTGATTTAAGATTAAATAAATAAATATTAATTATTTAAAAACTTCAGAAATTCATATCTTCATCATACGAACTCCATTTTCGACGTTCTTTATATCCACGCGTAGGTGAGACTATGCTCTATAACTTTCGTTTAGACTCCGTCGGTTAATTTTGACTTCATTTTTTTTTATTTTTTTAGTAGGTCGGTACAGAAAAACTTTGTTAGAAATTCATAACTTCTTCGTCTGACGTTCGTTTTCGTCGGTCTTTTCACCAATGCACTACTATCAACGAGATCTTCGATTCTCGTTTAGAAAGTTTTGGCTAAAACTCGCTCGATCTCAATTCGAACTTTTGGGCTGTCTACTACTAAGCTGAAACTTCGAAAAATTATAACTTCCTCATACGAAGTCAGATTTAGGCGTTCTTTTTATGCACACTCCCGGTTCAACATTATCTACGTCTTTCGTGTTGATCACTAAGGCTAAATATCACTCCTTCGTAAATTCACTATTTACGTCACGCTATGCCACACCGGTTTTTGTAGTGAAACTTCGACAGATCATAACTTCTTCGTTATAACTCGGATTTCGGCATTCATTATATCTCCAGAATCCTTGTTTCAACCACTACATGTTCATGCAAAGATATCGGGCATATCTCACACTTTAATTTTGACGCTTATTTTATTCTTAATTCATTAAATTATAATAATTAAGAAAATAAACACATAATTCACATAATTCACAAATAATACATTCTTATTATTTCAAATTGGGTTACAAAGGTTAGCCTAGACTATTACATTGCTAAAAATAGCAAGCCCAGAAACACAGGCGTTACACATATTTATTAG